AAAAAAAAAAAAAAAAAAAAAAAACAAGCATCTTTTTCCTTGAATGCGTCCAGCTTTGGCATCACTTGCCCACAGGGCCCTCTCTCCAACGCTCGGCCCTCCATTTGTCCCCTTCGTTTCTTTCCACCTTAAAGATACAAGCCCCTTCCTCAGTTTGGTCCCATCTGCCACAAACAGGCCCCCACGCCTTCCCTGATAGTCTGGCCCCCTTGCCCTTCCTGCCCCTGGTCCCTGTAGACTCCAGCTCTTGTCTCCTCCCAGCTCAGCAAGGCCCCAGCCCCTGTGAACATGGCGGCTCCTGCCTCAACACCCCAGGCTCCTTCAACTGCCTCTGTCCTCCTGGCTACACGGGCTCCCGTTGTGAGGCCGATCACAATGAGTGCTTGTCCCAGCCCTGCCACCCAGGAAGCACCTGCCTGGATCTCCTTGCCACTTTCCACTGCCTCTGCCCACCAGGTACCAGCTGGATGGGGCCTTGGGTCGGGGAGAAGGGAAGTAATCCTGCACCCACTGGGAATTGCCCCTCCAGAGCAAGGATAGCCTTAGGCCAGTTGGGATGGGTTGCCACAGGATACTTCTCCTCTCTCTACCCCCAGATAAAAACTCGGGGACATCCATGACCCCTAGGAGAGAAAGACTGCCACAGATAGTGGTGAGGTTGTACACTGCTCAACTGTAGGGGGCTGCCATTCATTTCATAGTCATCATAGAGAGTGCACAACCTGGTCCGCTGTACATGGCAGCCCAGCAAGGAAGGGCAGAATAGCAGTTGATAAACTTTCCATGCTGCAACCTCTGCTCATGGCAACCCAGAATGCTCCCCCAATCACAGAAATTCCCCTGTAGAGATAGAAGATAAGCCCTTAAAATCCCAAAAGCCCTGTGTGCTTGAATTTGCTGTAAGCCTACACTCACTCCAGGCTAGTTTTAAGGGGGAAAGCCTCCCCAGGGAAAGAGTGACACCAACATCAGCGATCTGAATGAAACTAGAAAAATAACAGCTGACCTTGTGCGAGATACTGTCTGAGGTGAGTCATTGCCTCATTTGCTTATTACAACAACCCTATGAGATCAGCGTTCTCACTATGCCCACTTTATCAATGATGAAACTGAGGCACAGAGAGGTTAAGTAGCTTGTCCAAGGTCACCCAGCTAGTAAATGGCAGAGCTGAGATTCAAACCAAGGGCTTCAACAATTATCAGTAATACACCACACTGCCTTTCTAAGCTGAGCAGCACCCAAAGACGGTGGCTCAGGCCACTCACAGACAATCATAGAAAAATAAGAGAAAACTGTTCAGTAATCCAAGGGACAAGATCGTAGATGTCAAGGAGCTTCAGAAGCAGACCCCCCAGGCAAGAAAGAGGAGCAGCCGAGGTCCAGAGGCTGATCCTCAGTTCAGAGTGAGACAGGAGAGACCAGGATGAGACCAAAGCAATGGGACAAATATGGGAGAAACACAGCTTCCCAAATGCCTTTCAAATTCCTCCCCTTTGGTCTGGACACTGTGGCTCAGGCCTGTAATCTCAGCACTTCAGGAGGCCAAGACAGGAGGATTACTTGAGCCCAGGAGTTTGAGACAGTCTAGGAAACATTGCAAGACCTTATCTCTACAAAAATAAAAAAAAATAAGCCAACTGTGTTGGCATGCACCTGTGGTCCCAGCTACATAGGAGTCTGAGGCAGAAGGATGCCCAGGTGCTCAAGGCTGTGGTGAGCCATGAGCATGCCACTACTCTAGCCTGGACAACAGAGCAAGACCCTGACTCAAAAAGAAAAAAAGGAAAAAAAACTCCTCCTCTTTGAGATCCCAGTTCTCCCTAGCATGGCGGCCTGCCCGGTCACCCTCCAAGCAGATGTCCACTTGTCTCATCCATACCTTGAGGGTCTCCAGGCTGATCAGCCCACGGTAGTGAGCCCTGCCCTCTGTGTACACAGGAATGGACCCCAAAGGCACTTCCTTGCAACCCTCCCACAGATCCTCAGCAGGTGATAGGTTCCCTGAGTTTTCACACTAAGGGGCAGAGCAGCAGGGCCTTGGGATCCATCTTGTCCAGCCCGCACACAGACAGCGCCCCCTGAAGGGGGCTGCCTGATGGGGGCAAGTCAGGGGTAAGGCTGGTTCTAGAACCGAAGGCCGAAAGGGGAGCAGCCAAGGAAGGGCTGCCTGGCTGAGCCTCGCCCCTCATGACTCCCATGTCCTCAGGCTTAGAAGGGCGGCTCTGCGAGGTAGAAATCAACGAGTGTGCCTCAGCTCCTTGCCTAAACCACGGTGACTGTCACGACCTGCTCAACGGCTTCCTGTGCACCTGCTTGCCCGGTGGGTACAGAGTGCACCTCAGCCACCCTCAGCCCCCAGACTCTGACCCTCCAGAGTTCAGGCGCAGCAATTGCCTAGTCTAGCCAAGGAATCCCCCATTTCTCCAGCTCCTTCTCTGCTCCCCAAAAATCTCTTCTGTTACATCCCCAAATCTTCCCTTGCTTACTCAACCACTTTCATCTCCATCCTGATAAATCACTCAAAGATCCTCCCCCCCAGCCCTCCTGCAGAGTCTGCCGTGTACTCACCCCACATGTTTGGGACCCAGGCTGATCTCAGCACTCTCACCGTAGATGGAGGGAAAGCTTTTCCAAGCCTTTCTCCTCCAGCCTCAGTGGACAGCCCTCTGTCCACTGCTATGATAATAACTACATTTAGTAAATATTCACTTCAGACCAACCAGTTGACTATGTACTTTTTGGACATTATGTCATTTAATCCTTTTAATGGGACCATGAGGTAGGTTCCATTATTATTATTCCCCTTTTACTGAATAGGAAACTGGAGCCTAGAGAGGTTGACTAGCTCGGCCAAGGTCATGAAGCTGGTGGGTGGCTGGGCTTCACTTTTTCTGCAACACTGTCCTCCAGCCCCATGCCCACTTGCCCCATGTGTGTTCTCTGGGAAGCCCCCCAAGTTCACCCTTCCTGGCAAGGGGCAGGACCCTGCTGTGTCTCCCTCGATGACCTTGGTCTTTGCTCCCCATCCACTCCCTGTTCCACCAGGATTCACCGGCACCCAGTGTGAAGAAGACATTGACGAGTGCAGGAGCTCTCCTTGTGCCAACGGCGGACAGTGCCAGGACCAGCCTGGAGCCTTCCATTGCATGTGTCTCCCGGGTAAACTGGGGCTCAGACACCAGAGGGGAGGGTGGGGGCAGGGGGCCGATGTCTGTGCAGGTCCCTGACCCTCCTGCCGTGCCATAGGCTTCCAAGGGCCACGCTGTCAGACCGGGGTAGATGAGTGTCTGAGTGGCCCTTGCCCCACTGGAGCCAGCTGCCTTGATCTCCCAGGAGCCTTCTTTTGCCTCTGCCCCGCTGGTTTCACAGGTCAGTAGGGGAGGCAGTGGAAAGGACTGGCAGGGGTTTTAGCCCATTTGAGGTGGGGCAGAGTTCATTGGTGGGTGTTTGATGGTTGGGATGTGAGAATAAAAGAGTATCCTTTCAAGTTATTCGGTACAAAACCTGCACAACCATAGGGACAAGGAGAGATGTTATGGTAGGGCCTAATTGGGCCCAACATAAACTTATTTATTAAGTGCCTACTATCCCAGACACAGATGCAAAGTTGAGTGGGAAAGTTGCTATCCTCAAATGGCTTTAAATCTAATGCAGAAAATAAACAAATAAAATCTAATGTAGTCTAATGTAGAGAGACAAGTCTCTCATTGATTATGGCCCACAGAGGTGCTCTGAGGGAGGAATGCACAGGGTCCTATGAGAACACAAAGGACCAGCCAACCAAGACTAAAGATGAGAAGGCTTCATGGAGGAGGTGGTAGCTGAAATTAGTCTTGAGAGATGAGTAGGAGTTTACCTAGATAGAATGCCAGATAGTATGTTTTAGCTGGAGAAAACTGCATGTGCAAAGGCACAGAGAGAAGAAAAACACATCCCACTTAAGGAGCTCTAAGGGGTCCAGAATTTAGGATGCAGCTGGACAAAGATGAGAAATGCAGTAGTTGTAGGAAGGGCCATGTCATGCAGAACCCCATGTGTCATTCTAAGGAAGTTAGACAGTATCCTACAGGCAATAGGAAGCCACTGAAAAACAGGTTTGTGGGTAATGAGCAAAGCATGCATAAGAAGTGACCTTTGGCTGGGCACAGTGGCTAATGCCTATAATTCCAGCTCTTTGGGAGGCCAAGGTGGGAGGATCACTTGAGCCCAGGAATTCAAGACCAGCCTAGGCAACATAGTGAGACCTTGTCTCTACAAAAAAATAAATAAATTAGCTTGGTATGGTGGTGCATGCCTGTAGTCCCAGCTACTAGGGAGCCTGAGATGGGAGGATCATCTGAGCCAAAGAAGTCGAGGCAGCAGTGAGCCATGATTGTGCCACTGCACTCCAGCCTAGGCAAAAGTGAGACTCTTATTCCAAAAAAAAAAAAGGGAGAAGTGAGCTTTGGCCCCAAGGACATGAAGGACTCTGTTTTCTTTCCAACCCATCTCCCCACCACAGGTCAGCTTTGTGAGGTTCCCCTGTGTACCCCCAACCTGTGTCAGTCCAAGCAGATATGCCAAGAGCAGAAAGACAAGGCCCACTGCCTCTGTGCTGATGGAAGCCCCGGCTGTGCCCTCACTGAGGACAACTGCACTTGCCACCATGGGCACTGCCAGAGGTAATATTTTCCTGGCTCTCCACATTTGCCCCCTCCTCTGGGCTCTCCTCAGCTAGGACAGGAAAAGACAGACAGTGAAGTGTGGGATGGTAAAGTTCTTAGGGCAAGTCAATGGGAGGGCTCAACTGGTATTAATCCAAGGAAGGGAGTATTCTTTAAAAATGGGGGAAGCAGGCTGGATGTGGTGGCTCACGTCTGCAATCCCAGCACTTTAGGAGGCAAAGGCAGAGAATTAGCATTGCCTGAACCCAGGGGTTCAAGAACAGTTCTGGGCAACTTGGCGAGACCTTGTCTCTACAATAAATCGAAAAATAAGTTGGGCAAAAAAAATAATAATAATAAGTTGGGCATGGTGGTGCACACCATGTAGTTATAGCTACTTGGAAGGCTGAGGCAGAAGGATCGCCTGAGCCCAGCCTTTGTGACAGGGTGAGACTTTGACTCAAAAAAATAAATTAATTAAATAAAAACTTAAAAAGAAAAATAGGGGAAGCAAGGCCAGGCATGGTGGTTCCCGCCTGAAATCCTAGCACTTTGGGAGGCTGAGGCTGGAGGATTGGTTGAACCCAGCCTGGCAACATAGCAAGACCTTGTCTCTAGAAATAAAAAATAAATTAGCCAGGCATGAAGTAAAGGCCAGGCACAGTGTCTCATACCTGTAATCCCAGCACTTTGGAAGGCTGAGGAGGGAGGATCCCCTGATCCCAGGAGTTCAAGGCTGTGGTGAGCCACAATCGTTCCCCTGCACTCCAGCCTGAATGACAGAGTGAGACCTCAACTCAAAAAAACAAAATGGGGGAAGCAGAGGACTAAGGGATCAGAGCAGACAGAAGAGCATTAAATCCTAGGGCTATTTCATCATTCATTAGACAAATATCTATTGAGCATCTACTTTGTGTGACTATTGTTCCAGATACTGGGGAACAGCACAGAGCAAAAGAGACAAAGCAACTGCACTTAGAGGGCTTTCATTCTAACAGGGAAAGACAGATTTATCAATAAGTTATAGAAGGAATATGTATATACCTATATATCTATCTAGTTGGAGAAAATGAGTGGTGGGGACAGGTGGGAGACGAAGGGAAGTGGTGCTGAGAGCAGTCATTGAAGAAAGAGGCCAGAGTCTCAGGGCCAAAAAAAAACAATAAAGAGAGAGAGAGAGAGAGAAGGTCATAGGGATCTGGACAATGGGGAGGAAAGAGGATACAATAGGAGAAGAGATAAATCCTCCCTTTTCTCTTTATGACCAGATCCTTATGCATGTGCGATGTGGGTTGGACGGGGCCAGAGTGTGACGCAGAGCTGGGGGGCTGCATCTCCACTCCCTGTGCCCACGGGGGGACCTGCTACCCCCAGCCCTCTGGCTATAACTGCACCTGCCCCACAGGCTACACAGGTGAGGCCCTCCCTAAACCATATACCCCTGGGCTGCTCACCTCTAAATCAAGGGAAAGACATGTGACCATGGGCTCTGCATCTCAGTCACCCGCAAGGAGAACTGGGCATGGGCTGCAGAGGACACGGGTGACATGTGGGAGGGGGTGAGAAAAGAGGTTGGATGGGGGAGAATAATCAGGTTGGAGATGAGGTAGGGAAGAGAAAGGGACGAGGAGGAGGGTGGAGGGAGAGAAGGAGGATCCCCTTCCTTAGAGTTTGCCTGTTTTCCCCAGGGCCCACTTGTAATGAGGAGGTGACAGCTTGTCACTCAGGGCCCTGTCTCAATGGCGGCTCTTGCAGCCCCAGCCCTGGAGGTTACTACTGCACCTGCCCTCCAAGCCACACAGGGCCCCAGTGCCAAACCAGCACTGACCACTGTGCACCTGGTGAGTACCCACCATGTCTTGGGGCTGGGCCACAAGGGGATAGAGAAACTGGGCAAGGTGTGTTTGTGCCATATTTTTAAAAATTGGGAGCTGAGTGTGGTGGCTCACACCTATAATTCCAGCACTTTGGGAGGCCAAGGTGAGAGGATCACTTGAGATCAGGGGTTCAAGACCAACATAGCAAGACCCTCATCCCTAAAAAAATACACACATACACACACACACATATATGCATATGTGTATATATATATAAATTTTTTTAAATGAAATAAAAACTTAAATTGAATGGTAACGAGCAACTTTTTTGATGGGAGATGTATGTCCTGTGTATGGTGTGACTCAGGTCACAGGCCAGATTACAGGCAACGAACCCAAACCCTCACAGCCTCCTCTCTCCAGCCCCATGCCTCAATGGGGGTACCTGTGTGAACAGGCCTGACGCCTTCTCCTGCCTCTGTGCCACGGGCTTCCAGGGCCCACACTGTGAGGGAAGGATTCACCCCAGCTGTGCAGACAGGTGAGCAGGGCACAAAGACCCCTGGAGGGTGGGGAGCCCCTCGGCCTTCCCACCCCTCCTCTCCATCTCCCCTCAGGCTCCAGGTTGCCTCCCACTCCACGCCCCACACTCTTGGCACTGCTTTCCTCGTGGTTGGCCATGTCCCCGGTAGATGCTTCCCTACCACAGCACACACTCTCTCCCCCTTGTTTCCCAGAACCTACTTCTACTGTGCTCTGTCTCTGTCTTGTCCAGCCCCTGTAGGAACAAGGCGACCTGCCAAGACAGCCCTCAGGGTCCCCGCTGCCTCTGCCCCCCTGGCTACACAGGTGGCAGCTGCCAGGTAAGGGGCACTGAGCCAGGTGTGCTGAGGAGGGGGTTAGCTGGAGAGTTCTAGTGGGGTGGGCCTTGGGGACTAAAAAGTGGGCAGCAGGAAAGCTTGGGTGGGGTATCCACAGGAAGGGAAGTATGGTGGTCTCAGTCTGGGGGTCTAGCTTGAGGTCTGTGTGGAGTAAAGAAGAAATCCTGAATGGGCTTCTGATTCCAGGCGCTGTTCTGGGAAGGAAACCAGAGTAATCTGGTCCCAGACCATTCAGGAGAAGTTTTAGAAGGGATTTTAGCTGGGCATGGTAGCTAGCACCTGTAATCCCAGCTACTCAGGAGGCTGAGGTAGGAGGATCGCTTGAGCCCAGGAGTCTGAGGCTGCAGTGAGCCATGATCGTGCCACTGCACTCTGGTCTGGGTGACAAAGTGAAACCTCAACTCAAAAAAAAAAAAAAAAAGAAAAGTAAGGGAGTTTGAGAAGCTGGAGTGGGCAGACGACCATCTCTGGGCTGGGAGCCTGTTGCTCTTTCCTGCCTCATACGCCCTCTCATCTCTCAGACTCTGATGGACTTATGTGCCCAGAAGCCCTGTCCACACAATTCCCACTGCCTCCAGACTGGGCCCTCCTTCCGGTGCCTGTGCCTTCAGGGATGGACTGGACCTGTCTGCAACATTCCACTGTCCTCATGCCAGAAGGCCGCGCTGAGCCAAAGTACCAACCCAATGCCCGACTGGAGAACAAATGAAGAAAAATTGGGTGTTCTCCCCTACCCCATCCCTAAGGGCATCCACATAGCTTTTGTTCTGAGAACCAAAGCCACACAGACCAACCAGTTATTGACTCCACAGTTCAACACCTGGGGAAGTCTAACACAACTCCTGTCACCACATTCAACATGACTCAAGCAACACCAACCAGTTCAGTCAACAGTACTCCAACTTGACACAACCACCAGGCATATGACTCCACGCTGAGCAATTCAGCTCTGTCCTGATCATTATATCTCAAACAAAGTGGACCACATTTAACCCAACTACACTCAATACATTTCACCCCACCCCCACTCACTTTGATGTTACACTAAGCCCTTTGTAAAAGAATGCCCCCTTATTCAAATAAGGTTCCACAAGAAGAGCTCAGGAAAGAGACACTGTGGCATTAGGGGATGATTGATGGTAATCACAGTAAGAGAACATCAAGTAGGATGCAAAACTCAGGGATAGACTTAAGCCTCATGTTCTCACATGAAGTATCCCTTGAGTTCTTCTTTGCTTAAGACTTGTTTTAAGGCTGGTCATGGTGGCTCACACCCGTAATCCCAGCATTTGGGGAGGTCAAGGCGGGAGGATCACTTGAGCCCAGGAGTTTGAGACCAGCCTAAGCAACATAGCAACACCTCATCTCTACAAAAAAATCAAAAAAATTAGCCAGCTATAGTGGTGCATGCCTGTAGTCCCACTTACTTGGGAGGTTGAGATAGGATCGCTTGAGTCCAGGAGGTGAAAGCTGCAGTGAGACAGAATCATACCACTGGAGTCCAGCCTGAGTGACAAGGTAAGACCCTGTCTCAAAAAAAAAAAAAAGACTTATTTTAAGCCAGGAAAACTGGTACTTCTAGCATTCTGATACTCTTTAAGAGGTATCTCTCCCATATTCTGGCAGAAAAGGTGGGAAAGGAAATGACGTTTTAACTCCTTCACTGTCAGGAATTTTTTTTTTTTTTTTTTTTTTTTTGTTGGGGT